TGTCTAGTTTTGTTTTTGTTTAAATATATGGTCATTTATCCTACTGAAATGCTTTGAAATAGCATCTAAATCACGTAAGTATCCAGATTTAGTTATGAACACTCTTTTCTGATTCCTTAATCTCTATTCCTGCGTTAATAACTCTGTTTAGGTTATTACAACCTTATAGTAGGTTTCACTATATGGCAAGTTCTGACCTTTTGTTTTCAGTACTGTCTGGCTGTTACGATTTCTCTCCCGCATGTCACACCCCTTAAATCCTGTGGGGATTTTAGGTTGGGGAGAATTTTTATCTTCTAAATCTCCTATATATCCATTTGTTAAGGTTTGTATTTCTTTATTTTAACCCTCTGGTGACGCTTTTAAAAATACTTGGTTTAGCATGTGCAGGCTTCAGTCTTTTTTCTTAGGTACCTTGTTCTTGCCAATGTGAGCAGGATTTTTTCTATTTTGCATTCTCATATTTAGGAATGATTTTGTTTTGTGTTTTTAATGTGTTGCTTGACCTCTAGTTACCTGCTAAACAGTTAGTTACTGGTTGGTTCTTTAGCACCTTCTAGGTGGATGTCATCTGGAATGACAGATTTCTAGTCCCTCCTTTTCTAGCATCTCACAGTGTCTTACCATAGAATTAGGTCATACTCATTTTCTTTTTTTAATGTTTTACTTATTTTTGAGAGAGACACAGAGTGCGAGTGGGGAAGGGGCAGAGAGGAGTCACAGAATCTGAAGCAGGCTCCAGGCTCTGAGCTGTCAGCACAGAGCCCGATGCAGGGCTCGAACTCACGGACCATGAGATCATGACCTGAGATGAAGTTGGACTCTTAACCAACTGAACCACCCAAGTGCCCCAGGTCATACTCATTTTTAACTTGACGTGTTTGGCTATTTATACCTAGTAAACAGAAGAGACTACTAATTTAAACAGTGTTGGCTTCTTCATTCTTACTCCATGAGCCTTGTGGCCCTGGTCTGTCTCTCCTCTTGCCAGTTGGCTATGCATATTTTCTTGTACCTTTCCACTGCTGTGATGCAATAATAATAGAACAGGGTTCCCTAGCCCCACCCCGACCATATCGTAATCAAAGGAAAACTGACTTTATGCCATTTCCCACTTGCATGCTGGCCTTGGGAGCTAACATAAGAAGCATCTCGGCCATATTTCCTTTCTGTTTATTGCATTAGCTAGGACGTTCTGTACAACCTTGAATAATATTGATGATAGCAGGCATCCTTCTCTTGTTCCCAGCTTTAATGGGAGTGCTTCTAGTACTTTATTCTTTTTAAAAAAAAAAATTTTTTTTAACGTTTATTTATTTTTGAGACAGAGACAGAGCATGAATGGGGGAGGGGCAGAGAGAGAGGGAGACACAGAATCTGAAGCAGGCTCCAGGCTCTGAGCCATCAGCCCAGAGCCCGACATGGGGTTCGAAATCACGAACTGCGAGATCGTGACCTGAGTTGAAGTCGGACGCTTAACCGATTGAGCCACCCAGGCGCCCCAGTACTTTATTCTTAAATATGGTGTCTGATGAAAGCTTTTGGTGGAAGCTTGGACATAGGATGTTGACTTTGTTTTGTCTGTTCTCACGAGCTAGTGGAGTTTTGTCAAATGTTTTGCATCTGTTGAGATGATATTTACAAAACCTTAATGTAATGAAATACAATAATACATCATCTAATGTTGAACTAGCCTCTTACTCCTGGGATAAGCCCTTCTAGGTAATTTTTAAATTTTAATACATTACTGTATTCATATGCATTCTGCTAATATATTCAAGATATCTGCACGTGTATTGCATATAGGTGGCCTTTAGCCTTTTCTTGTACAGTTTTGGAAGCAGGGTCACTTTTGGGTAGCTTTCTTAGATTTTTTTTTGTTTTTAATAGGTATAGTTTGTATAACACAGCGCTTCCTGTCAAAAACATGTGGGGCTGGTATCCTTCCTAGGTAGAGGAGAGGCTTTAAAAAAAAATGCCATATTGGGAGAATAGTGGTGGCAAGTAGCCCATTCAGTGAGGCAGCTGGGCATGTCACACATCAGTGGTGCTGCTTTGAAAGAAACAACAGGTCTGCACACATCTGTGTCTGTACATGCACACTGCTCACGTACGTGCTTGTGATGGTGAAACTGCTCTTCAGGATTTTGTAGTAACCACTATTTTTTCAGGACTGCAGAATTTATTTGAGTATTCTGGTAGAAGTACAGAGTACGAAATTATGCCCAAATATCAATGTTCTTTGCATAGTATCATCCAACACATTCAGAATGCCATGTGGCAGGCATGGAGTGGCCAGAGGTTTGGGCTGGGTCTGTTTCAGCCAGTTTGGTGCCTACATAGGTCTTAAAACATCAAATGGAATATAGGGGTTTCTGCTCTGACATGATATATGTGTTCCTGAAAAACTTTGCATTCTGCAAAATCACTAAAAATATTAGGGCTTGAGGGAACAATAGCGTTGGGGCAGACCCCTCAAACTGTGCGACGTTGTCACTGGAGAACTAAGACCGTTTTTGTGCCTTGGGGGGAGCCTCAGTTGGATGTGGGGAGTAGAGTTCAGCATGTCAGCAACTTGCAGATGATCTGCCAGTGCTTGGGGCACCTGCTGTGTACCCGAGACTTGGAAAGATTCAGTAAAGGTCTTTGTTCTTGAAGTTCACCTGGACAAGAATCTTTCAACTTTGTGCTCTTTGAACCTCCTTTTTCCTCTGCATGTTCTTCCTCATCCCTCAGAGTTTGTCCATCCCAGGCCTTCCCTGGTTCAGTCACCAAGGAGCCTGTCACAGCTGCCTTGGTTGAGCAGATCTCTGTCAGACTCTAAATATTTTTTTCTGATGACAAATAACTATTTATTGCAGCAACTTTGAAAACTGGGTTCACTCTACAAAGACTGTCTTCAGTGCCATGCCTCAGAACCACCTCAATTGCTTGAGCTTCTGGTTCTTTCTAACTCATTTGAGGGCTGGGGTGAAGTTTTTAAGCAAAATTGGGGTCATGGCGTGGCTCCCAGCCTGTTCTTTCTTGTTGAAGGTGTATCATCACAATTGTCCCTTGTTCTTAATTATGGCAGCATAATTATTCCATTGTTAGGATAAATGACCATTTTTCAGTGCCTGTATTTCCTGTTTCTGCTGTAACAAATGACCACAGATTACTAAGAGCCTTGAAACCACACAAATTTATTTTCTTCTAGTTAGGTTAGATGTCCAACATGGGTCTCACTGGACTGAAATCAAGATGTGGCAAAGCTGCCTTCCATTCTGGAGGCTGTAGAGGAGAATCCATTCCCTTGCCTTGTCCAATTTCTAGAGGTCACTTGGTCTTCCATCTTTAAGGCCAACAATGGCAGGAGGAGCCCTTCTCATGTGGTGTCACTCTGACCACTGTGCAAGGACTGCTGTGATGACACTGAGCCCACCCAGATATCTCAGGATAATTTCCTTGTTTTAAGTCAGTTGATTAGCAACCTGAATTCCATCTCTTCCCTTAATTCCAATTGGTCATGTAAGTAATATGGACACAGGTTCTCAGATTTGGGATAAGGACATTTTTTTTTTTTTTTTTTTTTTTTTTTGGTAGAGGAGGGCATTATTCTGCCCATGTTAGTCTCTTGTTCTTAGATGAATTGGTTCTTTGCATTTGTGTGGATGACAATTCAGTGAACACCTTCATACATCAGTCTCTGTGTATCTTTCTGGTTGACCCATGGACCACCTTTCTATAAATGGAATATTTCAATGTGATTATTGTAATATGTTTGACAGAAATTATCAAATTACTAGAATTCCAGTCTTGAGTGGTAGGAGAACAGAAGGCAAAGAAGTTTTCAGAACTGGGAGGAGACCAGTTTGTTCCTTTGTTGCATTCCTGCTAGAGTTTAAGGTTCTGTCTCTCATTATAGCTTTGTTATATTCCCTATATCTTTGGCACTTGTGTACACTTTTATTAGTAAGGAAATGAGTATATACACTGATTACATATGCATACACTTCATTATTAAACTCCCTTCTTTCACCTTGTTTCCTTTCCGGTGTTACATATCAATGAGGACTCTGAAAGACTAACCTCGGTTAATTTTGCATCATTTTGGATGTTGGCAGCTGTTTGTGTTTAAGTATAATACTGCCTCCATATCACTGAAATGGGGGACATTTATTCTTGTGAAAAGCAGTTAAGATGTATCTAGATGGTTTTAGCTGTTCTGTCTTGCTAATTTTGAAGGTTAACTGTGTGTCCTGTATATTCTCTTCCTGCTTCTCCTCCCCCCCTTAATACAAAAACAGTTTTTATATAAATTTGTGAAGATTTTATAAATACCAGTTGCCAGAAACCGTGAATGGAACCTAGAGTTACTTTGAAGTGGGCAGAATAAAATGGCACATGAAAGTACAGTCCTACCGTCTCTTGCCCATGCGGCCAGATGTGTTTTAGAGTTCAGGATTTTTGGTGGCGAGGATGGGGGTGTGTTAGTTTCCTATGGCTGGTGTAACAAAGCACCGCAAGCTTCATGGCTTAAAACAACAGAAATTTATTCTCTCACAGGATTCTAGAGGTTGCAAGTCTGAAACCAAGATGTTGTAGGGTTGGGCTCCCTCAGAACCTTTAGGAGAGGACAGTCCCATGCCTCTGCCAGCTTCTGGTAGTTCTGGGCGCTCCTGGCTGCGGCCGCAACGCTTCAGTCTCTGCTCCACAGTCACATGGCACATCCTTGTTCGGTCCGTTTTCCTTTCTTATGACGATGCCAGTCATACTGGGTTAGGGCCCACCCTAATGACCTCCTCTTAATCTGATTGTATCTGCAAAGACCCTATTTCCAAATAAGGTCACATTCACAGGTAATTGGAGAAACGATTTCGGCATATCTTTTGTCAGGGGGGCAGGGAGACAGTTCAGCTCCTAACAGGTAGGGTGTGGAAAGGTAGTGTTGGGCACCTGCCGTATATGACCCCTCTGAATAGGTTGGCATCACAGTCCATCAGCAGACACATCAGCGGAACATGCGACGAGCCACACTAAGTGATAAAAGCTACATGCTGCCTCATGTCGTTTTAGATCAGGCTTTGCCCCCAAACAAATGCAGTTCAGGCTACTTGGCTTCCTGCCGGATGGTTGCAGCTTTCCGTTTGCAGAGTGTTTTGGATTTTGGAGTCGCGTTTAAAAGATTGAGGACCTGTGCTAGGTTTTCACCTTAACTGCTGACAGCAGGTTAGTGAGCTTTCTTGGAAGTTGTATCAGGGGAAGTGACTACTCGTGTATTACTTAAGGGTTATACTCTTTGACCAGACACAATAGACGTAGCCCTGGGTATCAAGGAGGTAATGTAGTTTGACCACTGTATCTTCATGTGCAACCAGATTAGAAATTTTATTCTGCACGGTAAACCCTTGTTAGAAGCTAAACCAGCTCTCTCTCCTCCCTCACAGAAAAACAGAGACCCTTCATACATCAACCCCCAAATCCAAAGCCATTCTTCCAGTTTAACCAAAGCATCATGCCTTTCCCCTCTTAAGAGGAATTGGCTTCCGTAGAAAGCGTAGAAACCAACCCCCCAGACACATTTCAAGGAGCAAGCAAATGACAAACGGGGGAGTAAATTGGCTACCCCTCTCTCACCTGCAACTACGCAGGAAGCAGACACAGCTTTGTAGCTTCGAAGAATGTCGGAAGCGGTTTGCTTTAAATCCCCATATCTTAACTCTGTATTGAAATCCAGCGCTGGGGAATCTGCTGGAAGGAGCATCCAGCTTAGTACAGTATTGGATACTGTCCAAGCATGTTCACTGTAACAGTTCTTAGGGTAGAAGCATTGGAAACATCTGGAATGTTAGGGAGATTGTTTGGGCACATCAGTGAGCTAGTATATTTCCAACATCAAAAATCATTGGAGGAACATTTAATCACAGAGAATACTTACAACATAGTAAGCAGGGTGAAGTGATGTGGTGTGCCTATAATGTGAACTGATTTTATCAAATTGTATAGGCATAGAGTTTAGAAGGGATGGATAACCGTGTTAACAGTACTTTTCATAATGGACTAATTTTCTTGGAAGTATTTTCTATTCTTTTGTAAGAAATCTATTTTCTTTCTCCATCTCAACCCCCCCCCCCCTCCTCCCCTCTAAGTCCCTTGATCCAGGAGCCTTTTACTTTTGGGGGAGAATTGTATTCCCTTATGGTTTAATCAGAGTACTATGTTTACTTAGGGTTTAATCAGAGTACTACTCTTTTGCTGCTAATTGTCCACTGAGTTTGGAGGATACTTTGTAAGAGTTGCTGTTCAAAGCAGAGTAAGGGCCAGGGCAGGACGAGGAGGATGTGGGAAGAGCACTGAATGGGGGAATAATTTGGTTCTCATTCCCCACTGACTGGCTATCTTTCTTGTCCTTAGTGTCCTCTGAAGACAAAAGGTTTTCCCTAGAGTTCTTCTGGAGAATGTGACTGATTTTTGTCAGTTGCTGTGTCCTAAGGGACTTTCGATTCTCTCACGTTTTATAGAGAAAGAAATGCAGGCTTAGGGAAGAAGGAAGCTTGCCAAGGTTAATTAGGAGTTAACAGCAAAGCCAGGACCAGAGCCAGTTTCCCAACTGCTAGTGCAGTGTCCTTTCCTCTGCTCAGAACCCCAGGGTCCCCCTCCTCAGAGCTGGCCCACTGTGTCAGGAGAGGGGTAATTTTTCTTTTCTTTTCTTTTCTTTTCTTTTCTTTTCTTTTCTTTTCTTTCAATGTTTGTTTATTTCTGAGACAAAGACAGAGCATGAGTGGGGGAGGGGCAGAGAGAGAGGGAGACACAGACCCCGAAGCAGGCTCCAGGCTCTGAGCTGTCAGCACAGAGTCCAACGTGGGGCTTGAACTCACAAACCGTGAGACTGTGACCTGAGCTGAAGTTGGTTGCTCAACTGACTGAGCCACCCAGGTGCCCCATCTTTTTTTTTTTTTTTTTTTTTTTTTTTTTTAATAATAGGTGATGTTAATGTAATGTTGGTACTGGGCTTGTAGGCAGGGCAGCCCCTCCCAGTGTGTGTGTGTGTCTACACATACAAATGCAAAGTGAATAGTCATATTTACAGAACTTAGTGCTTAGTATGCACAAAACAGTGTTCTCAGCCCTGTGGATGTTGTGTGACAAATTAGCCTCTTAACAATTCCAGAGGCTCTGTTAACATTTCTTGGGTGCAATTCTATTAATTTTTAAAATATTTACAATGGTTTATATGCAAGATGTTTATATGCATTTGTATAGTATAATAAAGTTACAATTTTTATTTATTATTAGATGAATGCATTTTATGTATCCTTATTAAATAAAACTTTACTCATGGGATCATAATATACATCCTCTTGCCTTTTGCCATTTTAATTTACTGTATCTTGTGGGAGCTTTTAATTTCTAAACTTAGATCTGCTTCTCTCATGCCAATGAGTTTGCATCTCAAGAATTGTACTGGGGCAGCATCTAAATTGCTGAAAGGGAGACCCAGAATATGGAGGCAGTGTCACTCACCAGCCCCGGGCTCCACAGTGTTCACCAGCTTGTGTCTCCCGTGTTACTGCTCCACCATCTTGTGTGGGGTTCGCCTGCCTGTGGGGCAGGAGCTGCCTCATAACCACCAGGTCTGAGTCCAACTTGAGGGAAGGAGGAATGTGGATGACAACACTTCCTTTTTGAAGATGTGACTCCAGAGTCGCATGCTGCTTCCATTCACCTCCTCTAGACCAGAAATTGGTCTCAGGGCTCAGGCTCACCTCACAGAGAGGCAGGGAAATTCAGTCTGGCTGGATAGTCACGGGTCAAACTAGAGCGTGAGGAGGTCCTGCTGTGGAAAGGAGGAAGAAGAAAGTTCAGGCTGGGGGGACAGTCCCCTACGGTCAGCCATCCCGAGCAGTGTGTAGCAGTGGGGCTAGGAGGGGAGAATGGAAGTCAGAGCTGCCAAGTACAGGGCTGTGTTTTGGTATCACTGGCATCTGTGGAAGCTGATGTGGGGTGTGGAAGGCTGTGAAGGATATAGAATTACTAGACCAGCTGCTCCAAAGGCAGTGATAGTACCGTATTCATTTTTTGGTCATGAGAACTTGGCTCGCTGCTGTGGCCATCAGCTAGCCAAGAGAAGAGTGAGGTAGAGAAGGTTCAGAGATTAAGAGAAGGCTTTTCCTGCATTTTAGAAGGTGCCCATGTGTCCAGCATTTGAGCGCTTGCCATATGCCAGGCACGGATCTAGACTCTGAAGCTGCAGCAGTCACCAGCAGATCTGCTGTGCTTCATAAGCCCACATTCTGGTGAGCAGTGACAGGGAGACAGAGAAGGAAAAACATTCGAGTGGCAGTGGATACTCTGATGAAAAGGAAGCCATGTGATGGGCTGGGTGACTGAGGGCTGACTTTAGGTTCGGTGACAGGGGCAGCCTCTTTGGGGGGAGGTGAAATGACAGATAGCCGGTCTGCCATGTGGCAGAGGGGTCCCACTCAGGAATCATGAGCTGGGCATGTGTGGGAGTAGATGTGCTGGGTGGTGGTAACGTCATGAGCATGGTGGGAGAGGCAGGTGGGGACTCCCATCATGGAGGGTTGGTAGATTACAGCAAGGAATCACTATTTCTGAGTATCCTGGGAAGCCCCTGGAGGGCCTGAACCAGGACAGTGACGTGCTCAGTTTTCTGCCTCTAAAATCACTTTGGATGCAGAGAGCATAGATTGTTTGAGAGCAAGAGGGGAAGAATTAACCGGGCTGGCTAGCTGGCTGTTGTCTGTCAGTTGGGTAAAAGATGGTGGCTGCAACAAAGGCAACTGCAAGAATAGAAAGAAACATTCTAGATCTATTTCAGTTAGAAACAAGGTGTTCTGATGGATTGAATGGGCACAAGGCAGCGAGGGAAAGAAGAACCAAGGTTTACTCAAGATGTGTTTGGTTGGTGTTGGTTATGTTTGAGGTAACGGTTCCATGATCTCCAGTTGAAGCTGGTAAGTAGGTAGTTGGTTAAGAGTCTGGAGATCTGGGGGAGATTTTTCTGGCTAAGTAGTGTCATGGCTCTCTTAGTCAGGGTGCACTTAAATTCAGACTTTGGGTTATAGCTTATACCACTACACCAAAATCATTAGGGTGTGACGGGTGTGAGGTGTGTCCCTTTCTGTGGCTCCCATGATTTTTGAAAGACAGATGAAAGATTATTTTTAGATGCAGAGTAAGTTGTTGGTTGCCAAGACTACCCCCAGGTTTGATAATTTGCTAGGAGAACTCACAGGATTCAGTATTCAGTCTTGATGCCTAAGTGAGAGGCTACAAAGCAAAATCAGCACAAGGGAAAAGGTACGGGGTGAAGTCTGCAGGAAATCAGCATGAGCTTCCAAGAGTTTTCTCCCAGTAGTCCTACATGATGTACTTCCTTCCCCCCAGTGACAGGTGAGAACACACGTGGAATGTTTTCTATCGGGGAAGCTCAACAGAGACTCAGCACCCAGGGTTTCACTGGGACTGATCACATAGGTACCCTCTGCTTAGCATGTACCAAAATTCCAGACTCCCAGAGGAAAGCAGGTGCTCATCACAAACGATATTGTTTGTAAAGTTTTGACACAATGAGCCCCCCTTTTTTTTCTTTTTTAAAAAAAAATTTTTTTTTTCAACGTTTATTTTTGGGACAGAGAGAGACAGAGCATGAACGGGGGAGGCGCAGAGAGAGAGGGAGACACAGAATCGGAAGCAGGCTCCAGGCTCTGAGCCATCAGCCCAGAGCCCGACACGGGGCTCGAACTCACGGACCGCGAGATCGTGACCTGGCCGAAGTCGGACGCTTAACCAACTGCGCCACCCAGGCGCCCCACAATGAGCCCCTTTTATCAGGGTGGTGGGGATCCTTTCCAAATTCAAGTTTTCCGTCACCAGTCAAGGGCTGCTGCTACGTTAGCTCTTTTCTACACATAGAGAGGGTGACTTCTTATCTTGCAGTTTCCCAATAAACTTGAATCTATATCCTCACTGGCCTGCTTATGGCCGAACTGCTCCCGTGATTTCTTTCACCTGTTTTCCCTCACCCTGACACATACACCCTTATTCACCCTGAAAGATTGGGGAGAACACATGTGGATGGAGTAAAGCTAAATTGCCAGAGCGTGCTGTGAACGTGACATGCGCGGGAACAACAGTGTGTGTACCATCAGG